TTATGTGATTTAATTTTACATTTGATTTTATTATTATTATTATTAGCTTTTCATGAACCACATTTGTGAAACCCTGGTCTACAGAACTAATTTAAGTAACATTTACATAATTTAAGTAACATTTACATTTAAGTAACAATTTCAGTAATATTTAAGCAGAAGCCTTTAGATCAAAAGAAAACATCATTTGATTTGAGTATGTCCAAACTTCTTCAGTGCATATTTTATAAATAAATTTGTATTGCTGTGTTTTGTTGAAGAAAAACATACAGCTCCTATTCTGACGATAGATTAAATTAAATTGCATAATTCAATAGTTAACGATATGACATTGTTGTTGTTTACAGTATTAATTTCAGCCATGACTCATCCTTTCTGTGTGCATCCAGTGACAAGGGAACTGTGCACATATTTGCTCTGAAAGACACCAAACTGAACCGGCGTTCTGCGTAAGATTAATCATGTCACTAAAAAGAAAATCTTGATTGTCATTTTATTGCCGTTTTCGTTGCATTCTAGGTGTTCTTTAGAAATATCCTAGTAGTTGTAGTTAGTCACTTGGTTTTATGTGTGGTTTCTTGTCTTCTCTAGTTTGGCGCGAGTAGGAAAGGTGGGTCCGGTCATCGGGCAGTATGTGGACAGTCAGTGGTCTCTGGCTAATTTCACGGTGCCGGCTGAGTGCGCTTGCATCTGTGCCTTTGGGAAGAACACCTCCAAAAATGTCAACTCTGTTATTGGTATGTGGGCTTTATTTCCAAGACATTTGAGTGAACCATTATTGATTTGTCAGTTTCTCATTACTTGTGTCTCTCTTTAAAGCCATATGTGTTGATGGGACATTCCACAAGTACGTCTTCAGCCCTGATGGAAACTGCAACCGCGAGGCTTTCGACGTGTATCTGGACATTTGCGATGATGATGATTTCTAAAGCTGTAGATTGAGCTGTGACTAATGTAAAATAGTAACCTTTTTAACAGTGAACTCTGCTGGTTGTTCCTCATGCTTATTTCTGTGAGATTATGTTACTGCCTTGTATAATCAAATGTACATAAAATCGGTCTGTGAGTAAATGTCTTGTTAACATATCTTATTTTTTCACATGCAGGAGTTTCAAAGTCTGTGATCGTTTACTTGTTCTTCAGAGATACTCAACCTTTGAACACTTTTGAATGATTTCTCATCATTCTTTGTCCTGTTGGTGTCCTGTTACTCTTAAGGAAAAAGGTTCCTCAACCTTAAAGGAACTTTATTTATGAATCAATACAGGCTTTTGGGACTAAATATATATAGAACAGGGTTTTGGCTTTATGGTGTATTTTATATAATAGATGGTACAACTTCTAATATGATAAATCATAGGTTTTATCTATAACAAATCAACCTTTATATTTTATTTTACACT